GGGGATAATAGCAAAGGTGTGAATGTAAGGAATTTTGAGAAATTGACAGGAAAAAACTGCAACCAACTTCAGACTGTTGTCATTTCTAAGGCACTCGTCCGACAGCTGTTAAAATTATTCCAGTGACAGCTCATTATATTGTTTACAAGCGTACAAAAGCATTTTGGCGAGAATTTTCCAGAAAAAAGTTATTCCGGATGAAATAGTGTTATTTCTTTATATTTGGCCGGAAAAAACACAAGTGACTATCGTTAGAGAACTACAGCATTTAAATGTGAATAAATCTTTTGAGTCTCATACCATCGCTCGTTACCGTGATACTGGTAGCGTAGCCCGACGTCAAAGAAGTGGAAGGAAGAAAACAGCAACATCAGCAGAAATTGTTCGAAAAGTAAAGAAGCGACTTGATCGAAATCCGCGTCGCAGTGGCCGAAAAAATGTCTCGTGAGCTGAGCATATCGCATTATTCCATTCGGCAAATATTGAAAAATGAGCTCAGGGAAAAGCCATTGAAATTCAAAAAAAAAAAAAAAATATATATACAAGAACTCACACCGCAACGGAAAAAAGGTTCAAAAGTGCTAAAGAGTTGCTTCTTTTGGCCGAAAGTTGTGAACTGCCGAATTTGATTTCTTCGTTCTCCGATGAGAAAAAATTCGTTGTCCAGCAGTTTGCAAACAAACAAAGGGATCGTGTTTATTACCAAAGGGGTCAGCTGAAAATGTGCACCTTCGGTTGTCCACCAGAACTCAAACGGCGGCCATGATGATGGCCTGGGCCGCCATAACAGCCGATGGTGGCTCTCCGCTCGTATTAATCGACCGTGGCATCAGAATAAATGCCGAATATTATCGCGAAAATACATATTCTGGAGGGTGTATTAAAGCCTTGGGCACGCAAACATTTTGGCCGCAGACCTTGGACATTTCAACAGGACTCAGCACCATCGCACTCAGCACGCGCCACCCAAGAATGCTTACAAAATAAGGTTCCTCACTTCATTTCCAGCGCACAATGTCCACTAATATCTCCGGATACCAATCCGTTGGACTACTGTGTCTGGAGAAAATCCATTGTTAACCAGGTCTTTCGAATTTTTTGTTCTTGAAGACGATTAACCCAAACGATGTTGATACTATCCCATCGGATTTTTTTTTTTTTTTTTTATCAAATTTAATAGCAATTTTTCTCATTTTTGTACACTTTTCATAGATATCTGTTGGAGAAGTTGTATTTTTTTAACTCTTTTTTAGTATTTTTTAAAATCAGTTTTCCTTTTTCTTATTTCAGAAACTATGGTCTTCCAATGGTTATTTTCCCGGTAAGTCACCATTTCTAACAAAAGAAACATTTATTATTTATTATCTTAAAATTCCTTTTGAAAAACTGTTTTTCAAAAAATCTACATAAGTCTGGGTCTGGTTTGGGTCCTTGAAAAAATATTTTTTTTTAAATCCACGTTTATTGATGGTCCATGAAAAAATATTTTTTTTAAATCCACGTTTATTGATGGTCCATGAAAAAATATTTTTTGTAAATCCACGTTTATTGATGGCCTATGCAAAAATATTTTTAAAAAATCCACATTTTTTGATAGGCTTTGAAAAATATTTTTAAAAAATCCACATTTGTTGATAGGCGTTGAAAAATATTTTTGAAGACATCCACGTTTATTGATAGTCCATGAAAAAATATTTTTAAAAAATCCATGAAAAATATGGTCCATGAAAAAATATTTTTAAAAAATCCATGAAAAATATGGTCCATGAAAAAATATTTTTAAAAAATCCACGCTTCTTAGAGGTCCATAAAAAATATTTTTAAAAAATCCACCAAGAAGTGGTCCATGAAAAAATATTTTTAAAAAATCCACGTTTCTTAGTGGCCCATGAAAAAATATTTTTAAAAAATTCACGTTTCTTGGTGGTTCATAAAAAATTATTTTTTTTAAAAATCCACGTTTCTTGGTGGTCCATAAAAAAGTATTTTTAAAAAATCCACGTTTCTTGGTGGTCCATGAAAAAATAATTTTTAAAAAATGCACGTTGATTGATAGTCCATGAAAAATTATTTTTGAAAAACATGAAAGTTTATTGATGGTCCATGAAAACATATTTTTTAAAAATTCCGATTTTGTCTTGGTCCATAAAAAAATATTTTTTTTAAAAAATCCAGGTTTGTCGTTCATGAAAAAATACTTTTTTTAAAAAATACACGTTTATTGATGGTCCATCAAAATTTTTTTTTTTAAAAATCCACGTTTGTCCATGAAAAAATATTTTTTTTTTAAAAATCCACGTTTGTCCATGAAAAAATATTTTTTTAAAAATCCAGGTTTTTCCATGAAAAAATATTTTTTTAAAAATCCACGTTTGTCCATGAAAAAATATTTTTTTAAAAATCCAGGTTTTTCCATGAAAAAATATTTTTTTAAAAATCCACGTTTGTCCATGAAAAAATATTTTTTTTAAAAATCCACGTTTGTCCATGAAAAAATATTTTTTTAAAAATCCACGTTTGTCCATGAAAAAATATTTTTTTAAAAATCCACGTTTGTCCATGAAAAAATATTTTTTTAAAAATCCACGTTTGTCCATGAAAAAATATTTTTTTAAAAATCCACGTTTGTCCATGAAAAAATATTTTTTTAAAAATCCACGTTTGTCCATGAAAAAATATTTTTTTAAAAATCCACGTTTGTCCATGAAAAAATATTTTTTTTAAAAATCCACGTTTGTCCATGAAAAAAATATTTTTAAAAAAATCCACGTTTATTGATGAGTCATAAAAAATATTTTTAAAAAAATCCACGTTTATTGATGAGTCATAAAAAATATTTTTAAAAATCCACGTTTATTGTTGGTCCATGAAAAAATATTTTTTAAAAAATCCACGTTAATTGGTGGGTCATGAAAAAATATTTTCAAAAACTCCACGTTTATCGATGGTCCATGAAAAAATATGTTTTTTAAAAATCCACGTTTACTGATGGTCCAAGAAAAAATATATTTTTTAAAAATCCACGTTTATATGGTGGATGAAAAAAATATTTTTTAAAAAATCCACGTTTATTGATGGTTGATGAAAAAAATATTTTTTAAAAAATCCACGTTTATTGATGGTCAATGAAAAAATATTTTTTAAAAAATCCACGTTTATTGATGGTGGGTGAAAAAAATATTTTTTAAAAAATCCACGTTTATTGATGGTCAATGAAAAAATATTTTTTAAAAAATCCACGTTTATTGATGGTGGATGAAAAAAATATTTTTTAAAAAATCCACGTTTATTGATGGTCAATGAAAAAATATTTTTTTAAACAATCCACGTTTATTGATGGTCCATGAAAAAAAATTTAAAAATCCACGTTTATTGATGGTCCATGAAAAAATATTTTAAAAAATCCAGTTTTATTGAAGGTGGATGAGAAAAATATTTTTTAAAAAATCCACGTTTATTGATGGTCAATGACAAAATATTTTTTAAAAAATCCACGTTTATTGATGGTCAATGACAAAATATTTTTTAAAAAATCCACGTTTATTGATGGTGGATGAAAAAAATATTTTTTAAAAAATCCACGTTTATTGATGGTCAATGAAAAAATATTTTTTAAAAAATCCACGTTTATTGATGGTCAATGAAAAAATATTTTTTAAAAAATCCACGTTTATTGATGGTCAATGAAAAAATATTTTTTAAAAAATCCACGTTTATTGATGGTCAATGAAAAAATATTTTTTAAAAAATCCACGTTTATTGATGGTCAATGAAAAAATATTTTTTAAAAAATCCACGTTTATTGATGGTCAATGAAAAATTATTTTTTCAAAAAAATCTACGTTTATTGATGGTCAATGAAAAAATATTTTTAAAAAATCCACGTTTATTGATGATCCATGAAAAAATATTTTTAAAAAATCCACTTTTATTGATGGTCTTGGAAAAAATATTTTTTAATAAATCTACGTTTGTCTTGGTCTTGGAAAAAATATTTTTTTAAAAAATCCACGTTTGTCTTGGTTTTGGAAAAAATATTTTTTTAAAAAATCCACGTTTATTGATGGTCCATGAAAAAATATTTTTTTTTTAAAATCCACGTTTATTTTTAAAAAATCCACGTTTATAGATGGCTCAATAATTTTTTTTTTTTTTAAATCCACGATTGCTTTGGTGTTGGATAAATATTATTTTAAAAAATCCACGATTGTTTTGGTGTTGGAAAAATAGTTTTTAAAAAACTCCACGTTAGTGTTAGTGTTGGAAAAATATTTATTTAAAAAATCCACGTTCGTTTTAGTCTTGGAAGAAATATATTTTAAAAAATTCACGTTTGTATTGGTCTTGGAAAAAATATTTTTTAAAAAAATCTTCGTCATTATTGGTCCAAAGAAAAATATTTTTAAAAAATCCTCATTTATTGATGGTCCATGAACAAATATTTTTAAAAAATCCACGTTTATTGGTGGTCCATGAAAAAATATTTTAAAAAAATCCACGTTTATTGGTGGTCCATGAAAAAATATTTTTAAAAAATCCACGTTTATTGGTGGTCCATGAAAAAATATTTTAAAAAAATCCACGTTTGTCTTGGTCTTAGAAAAAATATATTTTAAAAACCCACGTTTATCTTGGTCTTGGAAAAAATATTTTTAAAAAACCCACGTTTATCTTGGTCTTAGAAAAAATTTTTTTTAAAAATCCACGTATGTCTTGGTTCTTGAAAAAATATATTTTTTTTAAAATCCACGTTTGTCTAGGTCCATGAAAAATATTTTTTTTTTTAAAATCCACGTTTATTGATGGTCCATGAATAATTTTTTTAAAAGAAATTCACGTTTATTGGTGTCCATGAAAAAAAATTCCACGTTAATGGGTGGTCCACGAAAAAATATTTTTAAAAAATCCACATTTGCCTTGGTCTTAGAAAAATATTACAAAAAAAAACCATTTTGTCTTGGTTTCAAAAAAAAATTTTTTTTTTGAATTAAACTGTATTTTCAATATTTATTTTTCATTGTCGCAATAAAGGGCCTTTCGGCCTTTGGGCATTCAAATCGATCAAAGGGTGGCTTTAACTCCACATCCCCCCGGCGATTCTCCTGCAGCATATTATTCCACAGTAAATTTGCCATCGCTGCATGACCAAATTGACTGAAGTGGACACAATCCTTGCCAAAGTAACGCAGATCGGTTCCGCCATGCAGCAACTTGGGTATTGTCATATTGGCCATAAACGAATGATAGAGCACCGCGAAGTCATCCGTCTGAAATTCTGCCAATGATGCCACCTGCTCATCAATAGCTTGCCAGTGTGTGATCAGCTCCGAAGCCTTCTGCAAATATTCAGGGCTATAAAAACGATTCACCAGACACGAACAGGTGAAGCCGAGAGGTATTTTGCAAAATCCAGGAACATTTTCCATTTGCTGTTGGAGATATACCATATTGGGAGCTGGTATCAAATTCACCACCAAATGTGGGACATTATTGCGCAGCACTGTCAGGGCCTTGTAGAGATCTTCTTCATGGTTCTTGAGAAACAGCAACATATTGTCATGGTGACACATATCCGTGCAAAAATCATTGCTACCCACAAAAATGGTCACCAACTTCCAATGATTTTTCATATCGATGCGGGAATCCCTTCGCATTCTTTGTATCAAAACCTGCACCTGAAAGACTAGATCTCGCGACAGCGTCATGGGTTCGGCCACATTCAAATAAGCCCCCTTATCCCGGGCCAAAACATTCTCTGTGGCATAACCATAGAGGCTGGGATTGAAGACCTTTAAAATATTCGGCAAGGTCAACATGGTGGACCAATTTTCCATGCCACCACCGCTAAATGACATGCCACGAAATTCGGTGTAGGCTCCCAAAGCTGTGGCTGACATTGCTCCATTCCCTGCCGTCAAGGAATCCCCAATGGCTGCCACAACATCAATATCACCTGGGCGCAATTGATGTACCGTCACTGGCCTTACTGGCGACCGGGTATCGTTGAGGGAACAGGGAAACTGATCCAACCTTTGGGAATCCTGTACCTTACCCTCTTTCCAATTCATGTGATGCAAAATTGGTTGGAATTTGTTGGTGATTTTCAGTAACATTTTACGCCATAAGACAAAGAGGTCCCTTTTGTCATCCAAATTCGTAATGTGATAGTTGCCATTTTTGGCCTCGTTCAGGTGGAAATCGGTCTTTTGAAGTCCGGTTTTCTCTAGGAAATAATTGATTTTCTCTGGTTCAATTGCTTTGTTCGGAATGACGAAAAAAGTGAGAATGGTCAGCAGAGGAAGGAGATATTTTAAATTCATTTTTGACGATCTGAAAGAAAGAAAAAAAATCAAGTGTAAATGTTTAGCAAATATCAAGGATTTTTGAAAGGTAGTTTCGAGTGGTAGAAATTCCTTGAAACATTTAATTAATAACATCTAAGATATTTACCAGGTAGTCCCTGAAAATTTTGAAAATTTATTTTTGAAATTTTAAAAATAGGTTTCATAAATTTTATATTACCCCACACCCCTCCCCCCACAAAAAAAATTATAACTTCTTTATAGGAAGTCCTTAAAAAATATCTTAAAAACTTAATTTTTTTGTTTAAGATGTCCTTTGAAAAAAAAAATTTCATTTTTTGTCAGAATAACCTTAAAATATTTCTTAAAACCTCCACGTGTTGTTATCCTTTCATTTTTTAGAAATAAAAATTCTCGGAGAGAGCTTTTTTGATTTTTTGATCATATAAAAAATATCAATATTTAATGGAGGCTTCTTCAAAATAAATTTCCTAAAATTCCAAAGGGTCTTAAATAATCAACGATTTTTTTTAGGGTTTCGGACAAAATTTACAATAAAAAAAAAAATTGTTGATGGTCGAGATATCCTTAAAAAAAAATAATTTTTAGAGAAGTTCCTGAAAACTTGATTTTCTGGATGTCCTTAAAGACATCCTAGGAAAACGTTAGATTTTTTTCAGGATAACAGTAATCAAAATGTTTTCAAAGATGAAAGAACTTTTACTTAACAGGTCAGTAGGGTTTTGAATAATCCACGATTTTTTGTCTAGGGTTTCGGAAAAAACTAATAAAAAAACATAGTTGAAAAAAAAATAATTTTTAACAGAAGGTCCTGAAAATTTGATTTTCTGCATGTCCTTAAAGACATCCTAGGAAAACGTTAGATTTTTTTCAGGATAACAGTAATCAAAATGTTTTCAAAGATGAAAGAATTTTTACCAGGAAGTCCGTAAAGAAATGTTCTTTACACCAACAGGTCAGTAGGGTTTTGAATAATCCACAATTTTTTGTCTAGGGATTCGGAAAAAAATCTAATAAAAAACATAGTTAATGGTCGAGATATCCTTGAAAAAGAAAAAAAAATAATTTTTAACAGAAGGTCCTGAAAATCTGATTTTCTGCGTGTCCTTAAAAGTATTCTTGGAAAACGTTTGATTTTTTTTTTTCAAGATAACAGTAATCAAAATTTTGTTCAAATATGAAAGAATCTTTACCAGGAATTCCGTAAAGAAATGTTGTTCACACCAACAGGTTTTAAATAATCTACAATTCTTGATCGAGGTGTTCGAAATAAAAACTATGCTTAGTCAGAGGATCCCTGAAAAAATCTTAAAGGCAAATCTTTAAAAAAAAAATCTTAAAAATTCCACGAAACTTAGTCCTTAAAACAAATTGAAATTGTTGGCCAGTGGTTCTTAAAAAAAATCAAAATTGTTTATCAGTAGACATATGAATCTGAAAAATCTAAAAAAAAATTGAACGAATTCTAAAAAAAATATATATTTTTATTAAAGTTGTTCTTGAAGAAAAATTCCTAAATAATCCACCAGTATGAAACGCACAATTCCTATTACGAATATCATTTGAAGTATTCGATCAGGAAATCCTTGAAAACATTTCTTAAAAATTAAACATTAATTTCCGAAATTATATGATCCTCGAAAAAAGTTTATCAAAAGAAAAAGTCACTAGGTTGGCACAACCGTTCCTTGAACAAATTTTACCTAAAAATTCAACGACCTTGAAAATGATTTTTTTAAGATTTTAAAGTTATAGGAAAGACTTTTCTTAAAACATTCAAGAATTTTGGGAAAAACGTTCTTGAAAAAATTTTAATAAATAATCCATGACTTCTGATCAGGAAGTCCTTGAAAATATTTTCCTAAAATATACATTGCATTCAATCAGGAGGTCCTTTGACAAAAATCTTAAAAAATTCCTTGATATTAGATCAGAAGTTCATTGATCAATTTTTTTTTTAAATCCAGATTTTTGTGAGATTTTTGCGTTTAAAGAAAAAAAAAATCCATTTGCAGGTTATTTAAGCAGGCGGCCCTTCTTAAAAAATGAAATTTTTTGATGGAAGTTGTTGAAACCATTTTCTTTGATATCCAAAGTTTCGAGTCCATTCATATTTTTTTTAATTCATGATTTTTTGTCAAACGATCAGAAAGTCTTTAAACGAATTCTATTTAAAACTAATATTTTTCAGATCGGAGGTCCTTAATTAATTTAATTTTCACAGTTTACAGTAAAAAGAGGTTTTGGGACAAAATTTCATGGAAAAATCACGATTTTTGATGGATGTGAATTTGCTTTAGTATCATCAGATCCTAGTCTAGAGGTCCTTAATAATGTTTCTTAACAAACCCATTATTTTTTGTCAGGATGTATTTTGATGGAGAGGTCCTTGAAAACATTTTTTTAAAAATAAGAAAAAAGCTCAGGATGTTATTTCGATATTATTTTTTAATCTACAGTCTTTTGTCAGGCATTTTTTAAAAACAATGCAATAAAGATTCCAAGATTTTTGACAAAATCCATGAAATCACATTCCTTAATATCCCTAGTTTTTGATCAGAAAATACTTCAAATTTCTTTTAAAGAACCGAAAAATTAAGCAATTTCATAAAATAATTTATAATTGTTGATCAGAAACAAACTTTTTTAAAAAATCATAATTTTTCAGTTCGGAGCCGCTTAAAAAATTTAAAATTCACAGTTTATAATCAGGAGGTCCTCAGGATGTATTTCGATAAGAAAGTCCTTGAGCATTTTCTTAAAAATCATTATGGCTCAGGAGGCTATTCAAATTTTATTTTTTTTTTATTTTATATAATTATATTTTTTTATTTTATTTTCTTTATCTACAGTCGTTGCTCCAAAGGTTCTAAAAAAATCTATAAAAAATTTCAATATTTTTGAGAAAGTCCATGAAGCCACATTCCTTAATATCCCCAGTATTTGATGAAGAAATCCTTCAAAAATTTTTCTTCCGCCTAAAAATTCAAGGACTGCTGATCATTAGGTCCTACAGATTTTTTTTTAAATCATTTTTGCTGGAAAAGACTTCCACAAAAAAATATGGGCAGATCAATATCAGAAGGTCCTTTAAATTTTATTGTTGGGAATCTACGATTTTTACGGAAGTCCTTGGAAATCCACCGTTAACAATCAATACGTCAGGGCAGCCATATGGCTAGAGCTACGGACAACGTGCCTCATTGAAATAACGATTTTAGACCCTAGATCTCTTTTGTCCAAATCCGTTTTAGAACATTTGAAGTCGATTTAGCGATGTCCATCCATCCGTCTGTATGTCTGACTGGTTGGTGCGCACGATAACTCAAACTTGGTATGTCGTAATGTTATTATCAAATGTAGATTGAGTACGGAGATGGAAAATATTGGTCCATTCCTTCTGGTATCTACCCCATAAAAGGTTGAAAAAATATTTTACTGCACAGAAAGAGATAGGATAATCCGATTTTACTCCAACTTTGTAAATCTTAATAGTTGCATTAATGCTAGGCTAGGTGCGAAAATGGACAATATTAGTCCACTCCATCAAGTACCTCCAACACAAAGGCTCAAAATTTTGAATATCCATGAAGCTCGAAATTAATTCCGATTCCATTCAAACCTGGCACATCTCAATATTTTTATCCACACAGAATCTGTTATAAAAATGGTATAAATCGGACTATACCTTCTGGTACCTCCGCCCCAAAGGGTGCATGTTTTGGAATAACCAGAACGATTTTTAAATCCGAAATAAGCATCCGGATCTCTTTATATTTCGCACATCCCAATATTTCTACTAACACATGATCTGGCGTGAAGATGGGATATATCGACCAACTTCTTCTGGTACCTCCCCCACAAAGGATCAAAATTTTATTTAATTATATCATTTATAAAATGTGATGTAGGAGGCCGATTGTTTTAAAATTAGACAAATCACAATATTTTTGTTAACCCAAGGTCTGGTGTAAAGTTGGAATATATCGGTCCATTCCTTCTGGTAACTCTCCCATAAAGGATCAAAGTTTTGAATATCTATGAGCTCATAAGACTTGAAATTAACATCCGATTCCATTAAGACTTGGCACATCTCAATATTTCTACCAACACAAGATCTGCGATAAAGATGGTAGGGATCGGACAATTCCTTCTGATACCTCCCCTACAAAGGGTCAAAGTTTTGAATAATTATATCTCTTATAAAATGTGATGTAAGAGTCCGATGGTCTTAAAATTACGCAAATCGCAATATTTTCATTATCCCTATATCTGATGTGAAGCTGGAATATATCGGTCCACTCTTTCTGGTACCTCACCCACAAAGACTCACAATTTTCAATTATTTTACCTGTCATATCTTGGGAAACAAGTCAGCGATTCTACATTCTACGATTCTGCATCTACATCTAAATATTTCCCTCAAGCTGAAACCTGAGATGAATATGGAATTTATGGTTCCGCATAAAATTGGATATACATTTTCGATTCCTTTTAATTTTGCCCAATGTATTTGATAAGGTATGAAGATGGAATACTTCGGTCGACTAGATCTGGTTCCCCACGCACATGTTGACATTTTCTAAAAATTATCACATGTCTGATAAGAATTGAAGGAAGTAACCAATAAAGTCCGATCCTGACACGTCACAATATGCATATCATATTTACTTAGGTCCGATACAAAATGGACAATATTGGCCCAGTCCTTCGGAACCTATTCCGGTTGGAATAATCTTATTCGAAGTCCCAATATCTATAAATAATCGAACATTGCCTGAGGGTATACATCTGCCGAAACAACCGCTTGAATCTTTTTAACTTTTTTATTTTTATTTTTTTTTTTTCATTTTTTAATTTTCAAAATATTTTTCCACATCTATCTCAGAGCAATCATTTTTTTTTTTATTTCCACAAAACAAACAAAGCACATCCATGTGCTACTGCAATTTATTTCCTCTTTTGCAGTTACT